AATGAAAGACTCACACTGCAGGCAAGCATGCTAGAGAAATTATTAGACAGAACCCCAATTACATTGTGGATGATAATGTCAGTAAGCAACTAATTAGGCCATCTTCTGGCTGAAACGAAGGAGGGGTTGTATGCACAATCCAAGATCAAGTTATTTGCACTAGATACAATCAGAAAATAATTATGAAGCAAGGTCTAAGTGATATATGGGAAGCCTACAATGAGTCAATAGAAACAATTCATCGTATGATAGCTGGATGCCCAAAGCTAGAATCAACAGACGGTACGTGCAGGACTAACCATGGGCCAGGACTATTTTCCAGCAGTTGGCTAAGTCTTACAGATCACTCGCATCTTGTCCTCCACATTATAAATTCCATCCTCCTCCAGTTTAAGGAAATAAAATCACAACACAAGTAAGTTATCCCAGGTAAAACAGTTGATTTTAAGAGGCCGGATATTATACTTCTGGATGAGCAACAAGGAAAAATGTACTTTACAGAAGCTGGAGTTCCATCACCAAGCAACCTCGAAAGTACAGAAAGTTACAAACATTACAAAATACCAAACATGAAAGCATGAAATCAAAAGAGGATGGAAGCCAGATCAGGCCATCCTTCTTCCCAGACAAGCAGAGTAATTCCAAAAGCCTTTTTTGTTCAGTTTCAACCAATTGCTAGTATTTGCTAATTTGCTTCCTAACCCCCCCCCAAAAAAAAACAACAACAGTGGTTTTGCAAACAGGTCATCTCACCTCCCCAGATCAGGCCATCCTTCTTCCCAGACAAACATCAGCAAGCAGAGTAATTCCAAAAACCTTTTTTGCTCAGTTTCAACCAATTGCTAGTAGTTGCTAATTTGCTTCCTAACCCCCCCCCCAAAAAAAAACAACAACAGTGGTTTTGCAAACAGGTCATCTCACCTCCAGATTTTTAGAAATCGACTCTTGATTTTTTAGGCTTCACCCTTTGGTCTGCCCTCTTGCATCAGCAGTTCAGAGAAACAAGAAGATTATCCACAACAACAATGATCTTTAATCTTAGAACTGCAGAACTGGAAGGGTCTCTATGGAATCATGGAATCCAGCCCTTGTCAAAAAGGCACAGTGGGGAATTTGAACTCCCAACCTCTTGCTCTGCAGCCAAATGCCTAAACCACTGAGTGAGCCAGCATGATGATGATAATGACCATGGCCATGATAATGATGGTCATGACAACCGCCACCGCCACCTTCGTTTCAGTCCTGAAATCTCAAGAGAAATACAAGAATTGCAAGAATGAAAACAAAAATGAACACACAGAGGCTCGCGATCCGATGGGGGCAGCCCCAATTAGAGTAAACCTGCCGAATCAAAAGGGATTTACACAAACACTGCCTTAGCAATTCTGCAGCTGATTCCGTGGGCCCAACTCTGGGTGGGGCAAAGCAATTAGGATTTAGGCCACATGCAGATTAAAGAGAAACCAATTAAATGAGAACACAATAAATAAGAATTCTCTCAAAAGCCGCGTGAACATCGGAGGCCAGATGACGTAGGAGAGAGAGAGAGAGAGAGTGTGTGTTCCTAAATCCCCGGGGGTGATGCCTTGGCTGCACCCACCGGGCAACCTGCTCCCCGAGGCCAGAGACCCACAGAGACACCTTGCAAAAGGGAGACGAGCAGGCGCTTTAAGTGGCCTGCTGGGCATCCCCAGCTAACACCATTTAGGGCTTTGGAAGATTAACGGCAGCCCTTTGAATGGATCTCAGAGATCCTATTGGGCACCAATGTGGGTTTAAAAAGAGAAGAGAAAGAGAGCGCAGGCTGGAAATTGCTACAGTGATCCTTGGGTTGTCTCGCCATTGCTGAAACACTGCTTCCACCTAGGGTCTGAAGTGTAGCTGCGCAGTACACGTCCCTTCCTCTTTGGGTTCCTAGCAGCCTAGGTGGAGGTTTCTGCCCCCAAAGGCAGCTCCTGGCAGGTGAGGAGGGGGGACCAGCTCTCTCGCTCCTGCTGCTCCTCCTCCCCGGCCCCTTGGCCGTGCACCCTTCTGTTAAAGGGCAGAGCTCTGCACCCCACATTCATCCTGCCTGGGGCTCCCTTGTTGCCTCAGATGCTGTGGAGGATGCTGCCTGCAACATTTGCATGATTCCCACTTTGACCTGCCATCTTTATTCCAAAAAAAGTAGCATGCATACCTTCCCCCCCCCCAGCCAGTTTATCCACACAATGACCCAGCGAGGTAAGCCCGCTGCAGAGAAGGAAAGTGCAAGGGTCTGAGGCTCAAGGTCATGGGAAGGACTTCATGGCTCAGGTGAGGACCAAGTACAGCCCTTTAGGTGAAAAGAGGAATGATGGGGAGGGTCTGGGGCTCCGTGGGACACTCGGCCTGCACAAACTAGCCCGTTGGGAGCCCCGATAGCTGCCATCCAAAGGGATATTGTGCCAAGTGAAATACACCCCTTCGTTGTTCTCGGACTACAACTCCCATCTTACTCACTGGCATAGCCAGTCCTTAGGACATATTAGCAAGCCAGGGGCTTTTTCAGCTCTTGCTGAGAGGCACGGAAAGGTATGAGGACTGGGGACACAGATGCTCCCACCCCCACCCCCCCTTGGCAAGAACAGGGCCCCATTGGCTGATCCTCCCACTCTGGAACATCTGCTGGCATGCCTCCCCTCCAAACAACGCAGCGGTTCCTACAAGAGCCCTGTTTTACTTTACTGCAAAGCAGGGCGGGGATGGGGGGGGTTGCCACATGGGCTGATGCTTTAACCTACCGGCTTCCCCTTGGGCCGACGCTTTCTCTGGAAGTAACCGACAAAATACCCCCCGGCTTGTAACAGACCCAACCCGAGGGGTTGGGTGGATGTTTCCCTTCCGGACACAAAGAGAACCCAAAGATAAAAGGCTGGGCATCTTGCTTCCAGTGTCGGGTCCCTCGGTTCCTGCAGAGCGGACAGACCCAAGGCCAGGGGGGCAAATCCACAAGGAGCCTCAGGCCAGCGAGGCTCCGGCCCTCTTCCCCTGCAAGCCTCTGCTCCGAAGCCTGGCTCTCTCCTCTGGGCTCCACCCTCCATCCCCATCAGCCTGCGATTCGTGTCAGGTGTTCCCAGGCAGCAGGTGCTTGCTAGCACCTGGGCTTTGGGCAGCATCCTGCTGGCTTCCCTGAACATGGAGGAAGCCCTTGTCCTGGTTCTCCCAAGAGGTCGGGCAACGACTGCCTGGCTCCATGAAGGAATATGGGCAAGGGCACCCCAAGTAAAACTGGAAAGCATGTTTCCTCTCCTGGCTCTCATAGATGATGGAGAGATCTGGCTGGTCAGAATGATAAATAAAGGTGTGTAAGGACCAAGAGCCTCCCATAAGGTAAACCCTGCTTAGGACTAAATTGGGGACTGTTTGTGTTATCTATGGGGTCACTGCTTGTGGGAGGCAAACTGATGGTCATGCAGGGTCTCCCTCCTTGACAGTGCCAGCTGGGCAAACCCTGATGAGGCCTCGCTTGTGGGGCGAAACTGGTGGTCCGAATACAGCAGGGGAGGGGTGATGCTACAAGTAGACATGCCCCACCCATTGCAAAATGCATCCTGCCTCAAAATCTAGCTTCTATTTCAGGACAAAAACGGAGCGCATCTTCTGTGAAGGATGGCTTGCTTTCCTGGGAAAACTCTTGGACCTTTCAAGTTAGTTCAGTTTCATTGCCACCCTCTCCGGTCTGGTCTCATGGAGATGAATCATGCAAAGTAGGAAACGAGGGAAATGTAAAAAGGGGTCATTTGCAGAATTTAGCTTTTCCCAGTGCTGAAGGCTTGGTACCTATGGAATAACTTGAAATGGCATCATTATTAGGCATGGACACCCATCAACAACTGCTTCAGATGTGAGTTGCAAAGTTCACAACCCTGCTTTAGGAACAAAGCCCAGAATCTTGGAGGAGGACACAATGAAGCACAGCAAAAGATTTTACTCTTTCTAATTGGTTGGTTTATGTTCTCAAAGAAATCTCATTCACCACCATCCCTCCTCCTTCCCAGCACTTTTATCCATGCCTTTTGAGCCAGCTGCATGCAAGACTGATAAAATCAGCTGGGCTCCACTTTTCAAAGGACATTTATACAACCTGCTCATCGGCAGGCCTTTGGATAAGAGAACGATTTCACTAACCTTTGGAATGAAACTTGTCCATCGGTTAACGAGATTCTCACGCCTTCCCTTTTCACCAGCAAAAAGTTCGGGCCGACCTATCACCTCATTCACTTTTGTTGTGCCAGATGTTCAAGTAGTGGTTTTACCACAGCCACCCACAACAGTTTCCACAGAGAAGATGGGATTTGAATCCATGTCTCCCAAGTCCTGGCCCAACTCTATTTACTGCCCCACACTGGCCCTCGCATGCTTTCTAATCCTGGAAAATTAAATCCAGCCACACAGAGTCCACTGCACTGGATAAGGGGAGAGAACAACGTAGGGCATGTTCTAAGGGGAGTGTGTTCAAAGAAACATCTCAAAGTGCGTCTTGGTTGAGCTTCTGTGCATTTTAACTTAAGGTCCATTCCTGTAGTTTTTCTTCCTCTGACACTTAAGGGTTGTATCAGAATAGTTAAGGGGCCAGGGTAGGCAAAAGCTATTTGAACCCCTAGGTTAATTTTGCAATTTTAGGATAAAGGTGTTTTAAAAGCACCCTTCCAAAAGAATCCCATCGTTACCCATAATCATGGAATATCTCCCTGTCCAAATTTAAGAGTTATTATTGCCACCACTAACTAGGACTAGGGGGAGAAAAGTCTGTTCTGTCCATCAGAGCGGCTGGAACCAAGCAAGAAGGGTTGGGGGGGTTGTCCATATTATTTCTAGAGTTAATTAGCATCCCCCCTCATCCACAAAGCATGTGTCCATTCTGCATGGAGATTAACCCATTTTATTAAAAAAGGAAGGAACAGCTCCATGGACACTTGTCATGTTCAAAGCCTCTTAACATCAAAGGGGAAGAAAAATTCCATGTGCAAAACCAGACATCCAAAATGGCTCAACATAATTTATTTTTTTTTATGTTAAAATGTACAGAGTTCTTTTGAAAGTACTTGCTAGAAAGGGGGGAGGGAGAAAGTGATATTACATACAAGGAGAAGAAGGGGGGGCCGGCCGGCCCAGGAGCGCATGACATGGAGAATTACAAAGGGGTATTTTTTTTGTTTGTTTTTTTAATCATCCAGGCACCCCTTCCCCCCCTCTTTTTTTTTAAGCTTACAAGTCACCAAGAACAAAGTACAAAGAAGTTACAAAACAGGAAAAGCAAATATAAACAGACAGGAATAGACGCAGCTTCATTTTGTACATGCGGCTTTAGAGGCATCCTGGAGCTCTAGTCACTCACTCTAGAGATCTCTTTAAAGAGAATTTTCATCTTTCTTAAAATAGTCTTTAATATTCTACAACAAAGATAAAAAATTTTAAAGATGGAATGAAATGAAAAAGCTCTTTTTTTTAAAAGGCATCAAAGTCACTAACAGTGAGTTTTTTTTAAATTTCTTTTAGAAGATTACCCAAGTTTATTTTGCTAAAAATACATTATTATTATTTTTTCTTAAACAGAAGTGGGAAAAAAATGACAGGTACCAATATTACTGTGTCGGATATTTTTTTTATAATATAGAAAAGAACATTGGTTCTCTACAATAGTTCTACAGTCACAAAGGTTTGTGGAAAAACGGGAGCTGCCCAATTGATTTTAAAAAACCATACAAAAATCCCAAAACCGAAAAAGGTAACAGCAGACAAAATAATAATAATAATAACAATAATAATAATTTCACGGCCCTTGTGCCATCAGCTTTGCTTTCGACACCCCTGACAAACCCACGCCTGACCCACCTGCAACCGGGACGCAAAGCCAACGCGGCTGATATGGATGGGTAGGAGGTGGTTGCCGGAGTCGCCTCGCGACACAGATGAGGTGAGCCTGGATTCAAAGATATCTACAGGGACGTGGGTCCTGCTAAGCCGTGTACACATGCTCAAGAACTAAGAGAAAATGTGGGCTGGAAGCCCTCGGGATTCTGCCTTTTTATACTCAATAGTACAGAGGAAGTCCATTTTTAGTGCAGCTGAGCCCCGCCTCCCCCCTTTCACAACTGCATTTCAGGTTTCTTTGAAGGAAAAAAAAAAGAAGATTCTTTACACATCTAAGTCAATCTAAGTGCATCTGTAGCTCTACAGGAATATACAGAGAGAACTTTACATTAGAAGGATAAGCTACATTTTCCCCCTCCTTGAAGTTCAGCTGATAGTTGTACCCACAGACCCGACATCTTTTTAGCCTTTGAACAGGACGGACGATGCCGCACGGACTTGCCCGGCCCAGACTCCCTCCCTGATGTTCAACACCTTTGCCCCCTCCAAACCCACAGGTGAGCCAATGGCCTGGCAAAGGAACCTCGCAAGAGGCTAGAGCACAGGGAGGCTACTCACCGGGGTGGAGAGGGGAGGCGGCGCGCACCAAGCCTTTTCTCCCTACATGCTTAGCAACAGGCTGGCAAAAAAAGAGAACTTGTAAAGCTCTCGACAGCCGAGGACAAGCAAGTCCCAGCTTTTGTGGGTATCCTTGTGAGAAAGAGAGCACTGCTCAGATCCTTTGGGATCTCTGCCTCCAAACATGGCCACGTTGCCTCTGCTCAACGGGCTTTGCTACTCTCTCACCTACACCTTTAAGGCTGCACATGATGCTTCCTTCAGAGTTGGTACTGCTAGCTCCAGACCGACAGCATCGGCCCGGGGTACGTAGCGTGGGCTCACTCTTCTAAATTTACATTTAAGCTCTGTTTCAGTTCATGGGGACAGAGAAAGAAGGGGGGGGCGGGGAAGAGAACCCATCGTCCAGAGTTCCTACTGCTGGGGAATGGCGAAAGAGGACCGGTGAGGTTTGCTAAGGGCTCCATATTCCATTCTCGGTCACCCCATCAGAGCTTCTGAAGTAGGAAACGGAGAGAACCTGTAGAGATCGGGCCATCTCAGGAACTGTGTGTACACAAAGGCCAAAGAAAGAGGAAAAAGTACAGGGTCTGGAAATGACAGGAGCAGCAGACGGCTGTTTTACACGCACTCTGCCCAGGTGGTAAGCAAAGCAAGGTTCTACGCTAAGCTATGGAAAGGTGGTTTTTTTGTGTGTGTGTGCAGGTTTTCAGTCCCCTGGGGGGGTGGAGGGAGGGAGGAGATATCAACCCCCCCCAAAAAAAGAAACCCCAAAGACCCCAAACCCCTTTTTAAAAATGGGTTTGAACTGTGAAGCGTTTCAGGATTGTGAAGGAAAATGAAGACCCAAAACAAGCGCCAAAAAAAAAAACATGAAAAGAACAAAGACCAGGCCCCCTAAAAAAATAAAATAAAATAAAACCAAAAAAGGAACAAAAAAACCCATCTAAGATCTACAGCAATATTTAACTGGAAAAAGGTCCATCGTCTCTGGTTTTGTCAGTATAAAAGGTTCCTTTATTTATAGAGATATTTCAGTTAGTTTTTTTTTCTCTGTGTGTCTGTGTGTGTTTTAAGACTGCAAGTGGATCTTGCTCATCTTCTCATGTAGGGTCCGTTGAGAGATTGCTTGGGCACCCCAGCAGGGTTCATATAGCTGTGATGGGAAGGCCCACTGTACATCATGTTCCCATGAGGGTTTGGCTGCATAGGCTGCTGGGGATAGGCCTGGCTCCCCATCATCCCCATCTGCATCTGCATAGGATACTGGGCTGTCTGGTTCATGTAGGCCGGGTTGCTATGGTAACTGCTGTTCATCATGGGCTGGGTCATCCGGTAGCTGTTCATGGCGTTCAGGGTGTTCATATTCATGGAGTTGACATTGTACGGGGCCGTGGGCATCAGGTTCACCCCCATGTTCATGCCACGCTGAACGGCCAGCGCCCGGGGGCTGGCCTGCATGGCGACGGCCGGAGGGCTGCGGCCGTAGAGCTGCTGCTGGTGGGCAGCGGCCGAGGGCAAGGGGGCCGACTTGGAACGGATGGAAATGTGCCCCTTGACGGGCATCTGGCCCTGGAGCCTCTGGGTGTGAGGGATGCCGATGTTGGTGGTAGACATGTTACACTGGAGGAGGGGTGAGGTGAGGTTCATGGTGGTGGAGGCCAGGTTGGGCGGGGGCGTCATGGTCGCTTGTGCTTGGGGCGTCCCGGCCAAGGGGTGAGATGGGGCCAACTGAGCCAGGCCGGTGTTGGACAAAGACACGCTGGTTGCATAGGAAGTCACAGCAGGAGAATGGCTGTAAGGCATGGCATGAGGGTCCATAATGGTGTTGGTCAGCTGCTGCAACTTGGCTAAGCTGAAGGTGGCCGAGGGCTGGGAGTAGCCGCCCGCACCAAAATCCCCGGGAATCCTCTCGTAGATGCTGATGTTGCTGGAGCTCCCGGTTTCAGGGATTTCCATGATCATTGGAGCTGGAGTGAAGCTGTTGTTCATGCTACACTGCGATAAGGAGGGCTGCGGGGGTGGCGGTGGCGGC